GGAAAGCAAGAGAAATGCTTAATTCTTGATCTTGGATTTGACTGGCAATTTTCAGAATAAAGAGTTGGTGCCCTAGTTATTTTCAGTGATATCTAATGAATTGTGTTTGTTCTCTATCATTGTGAACTCATGTTTTTTTTAATGTATTCAATGGGTTTCAATTGATTGCATTCATTATTCTTGTTAATGCTCGAATCATCCTATATTTTACCAGAGCTTTGCCTCCTATATCCCTCTGACACTACTCATTAGGGTTCCATACTTGCTTGATTTCTGGCACAAAGCTTACATGTATATTTCTTGCCCCAAACCTGCCATTTCTCTAAGAAGCTCTAGTTTATTTATATTTTCTTTTTTAGCAACAGCTTTATTGAGGTATAATTTACATAGCATAAAATTCATGTATTTAAAGTGATTTTTAGTAAATTTATATAATTGTGCAACCATGACCACAATCCAATTTTAGAATATTTCCATCAGGCTACAAAATCTCTTATACCCTGTTCAGTCATTCTCCTTTCCCACTCCTAGCTCCAAGCAACCGCTAATCTGCTTTATGTCTCTATTGACTTGTATTTCTAGAGATTTCGTATGAGTGGAATCATACACTATATAGCCTTTTGCATCTGGATGCTTTCATTTAGCATTAGTGTTTTTTTTTATTGAGATGTAATTCACATACCATAAAACCCACCATTTTAAAGTATATAACTCAGTATTTTTTAGTATATTCACAAGGTTATGCAACTGTGACCATTATCTAATTCCAGAACATATGTTTCACACCAAAAAGGAACTCCGTACTGGTGAGCAGTCACTTTCCACTTCTCCTTCCACTTGGCCCCCAGTGACCAATAATCTACTTTCTGTCTCTGTGGATTTGCCCACTCTGGATAGTTCATATAAATGGAATCATACAATATGTGGCTTTTTACCCTGGCTTCTTTCACTTAGCATAGAGTTTTCAAGGTTCATCCATGTTGTAGCTTCTATCAGTACTTACTTCATGCCTTTTTATGTCTGAATAGTATTCCATTGTATGAATGCACTGTCAATCTTAAAAGTAAAATAGCCAGTTATTGTACCAGCAAAAGGGGTTTAGTTGGGAGTAGCAGAGGAATTGCAATTCGGGACAAGCCAGCTCTAGCAAAAGCCACAGGCAAGTTGGGAGAACAAAGGACCTCGAGGACTGCTCTATTATAGAGAAAAGGGGGGTGCTGGGAGGGGCTCTTATAAACAAAAAGTCCACTGGAGTAAACTGGGAGTTTGAAGTGTAGTGGCTTTTCATTGGCTGAGTTGTAATAGTCTCTCATTGCCTGGGCTGTTGCTGGGCAAGGAAAAAATCTTCCTCCATCCTGCTGGGATAGTAAAGTAAGTTTCTTACCCTTGGGTCTGCAAAGGGGTACAAGGAGTGGTGTGGCATGAGAGCTCCCCCTTCTGGCCTCCTGACAGCTTTTTATTTTATTTTATTTTATTTTATTTCGTTTCATTTCATTTCATTTTTAAAAATAAAATATGGAATGCTTCACGAATTTGCGGGTCATCCTTGAGCAGGGGCCTGTGCTAATCTTCTCTATATCATTCCAAGTTCTAGTATATGTGCTGCTGAAGCAAGCACACATGATTGCATTTTAAATGAGGTTTCCTTTATTCAGTTTCACAGTAACTTATCTCGTTTATCAGTTGATGGACATTTTAGAGTTGTTTCCACTTTTTGGGTCATATATGGTTACTATATGATTAACCTTTTGAGAAACTGTTACACAGTTTTCTAAAGCAGTCACACCATTTTACATTCCCACCACAGTTTTCTCCCCATCCTTGCCAACACTTGTTTATTGTCCTTTTTTTTTTTTTTATCATAGCCATCCTAGTGGGTGCAGCCACTTTGGAAAATAGTCAGCAGGTCCTCAAAAGGTTAAGCTCAGGTTCTGGTACCACCACTCACAGAGGCCATTGTGATTTTCTTTTTCTTTCTTTTCTTTCTTTCTTTCTTTCTTTCTTTCTTTCTTTCTTTCTTTCTTTCTTTCCTTTCTTTCTTTCTTTCTTTCTTTCTTTCTTTCTTTCTTTCTTTCTTTCCTTTCTTTCTTTCTTTTTCTTTCTTTCTTCTTTTCTTTTCTTTCTTTTTTTTCTTTAATGGCCTGCCTGGACTAATTCTGTAGAGTCTGTCTTCACAGAATGCACAGTGTGTAGCCCACTGATATTTCTCTTCAGTTTTTAAAAAATTCTTTTTATTTTTAAGCCTGGCTTCCTAGGTGTCCTACCTGGGGTCAGGATAGCTTAGTGGTCAGCCAGTGCTTTTTTAGAGGTTGTCCTGAAGCACCTTGGGCCGGTATTGTCTTCCATGGTTTGTTGATGGAATTGTGTGTGGGTCAGGCAGCAAATTCAAAATTCAGGGAGTTTACAGGTCTTACCTGATTTTTACTTTCTGCTAGGCTTTCTCATGTGTCCTCTGTGTCCGTGCAAGTTTTCACCTTCAGCCAGGCAAATGTAGATGACTAGGACCCTCTCCAGTACCCTGAGCTTGAGTGCAGCCTTGCACATATGCATGGCCTTCTAGATCACCAGGGAAATGAGGAAGCTTATCAAGTCCCATTATGGCTGTCTTGTTTTCTGGATCTCTCTGGCTAAACTTTTGGCAGGCCTGCTGTTCTGTTGCTTCTTGCCCCAACCAATACTGTGACCTCAGGTAACTGTGATGTGTTTTTCCCTGATCTAAGGAGTTTGCTTTTGTTTTCAATACCCCTGGGCATAGGACTTTTTTGTGCTCATTCCTGAACAAGTAATTCCCCTCTAGCAGCCAAGTTGTTAGTTTTTATGGCTTGTCTTGCCCTGCCCTTGTAAAATCAGCTCCAGTGGAGCTGGGAAGGGGGGAGTGGGATGTGAATAGCCTCAGGCTGAAACACCATAGATTCCCACTGTTCTTACCCAAGGTTCAATAGGTTTTCTTGAACACTTCTCAATTTATTTAATTTTTGTCTATTTCCAGAGTCCCGAGATAGTTGTTTTTGACAATTTTCTACAGTTGTATTGTTGTTTGGTGGGGGGAAGGATTTGCTGAGCCCCTTACGCTGCCATTCCTGAAGTCCTGCCTAATTTATATTTTGAAAGATCATTCTAATAGCAGTGGAGGTGGTGGGTGGTGGGGAAACTGGTGGTCGGGAGTGTAGGATTTTACTCAGTAGTACTTTGTTATCTGTAAACAGGAATGGAAAATATAAATAGCTGGGTTGTTTTGTTGGGGGAGGGGATTGGCAGAATAGGTATGGTGGAAAATCAAGGGGTTAGGAGAACTGAGAGTGCTGGTTACTGTCATTGAAGCCTCACTGTCCCTGGGATCTCTCCTAGGTAGAGAAGGAAGTGAAGTTCAAAGGGACATGGTGGCCTTGGAGAATAGGTAAAAGAGCTGATGAATTAAAGGCCTTGAAAGAGTCAAAGTGTAAATTCAAGGAGTGTAAGATATAGGAGAGGTAGGAAAACAAGTAGTTCTGAGAGAAGACTTGGCGTTTGGTTTTAGAAGTAGAACCATTCCAGGTATCACTACAGAAAGAAATGATTGAAACAGTTGAGATGAAGAAATTAGAATAGACTATCTCAAGGAGCTGTGAAATTTGGACATTAGATCATCAAGGGGGCTGATGAAGGCTTTCAAGATGAAAAGGTGAAAAGAAAGCAGTATTAAAGTCCTCAGTAAACGTAGTGGGGGAGACCTGGAAGTTGACATTTAACATTGAAAGGGTGCTATAATTGAGTAGTATGGACTTTGAGGAAAGAAGGGCTGTTGAGGGAAGAGAGTGAAATAATACTTTGGGGATCCAGTAAAGAAGACATGAGAAGATGCTAACCTGATCTTGACTTACGGGAAGGGGTGAGTGAAGGAAAATAAGCACCCTCCCATTAAGAGCTCTGCAAAGGACACAGTAGAATTTGGGACACCCAGAGTTAAGAAGAGGAGATGGAAGCTCAGTGCATGAGCAAGAGCAAAAGTGAGAACGGTTTAGGAACTGGTGGATAGTTTGGGTTTTTTATTTGTTGGCTTGTTTGTTTTGCTTAAGTATAGGGTGCAATTAGGGGTATAATAGATAATATTGGAATCTATGTGATTAGTTTGAATCTAAAATATAACTAGGGTCATTATTGTTTAAAATTTTATTAGTCAGATGGTATACTAAGGAAACTTTTTCAAGTTATTTTGTTTAGATCTTATAGAAATTTTGGAACTGGTATTGGTAGCTGGGAAGTAATTTGACAGCTTTGGAATATTTTGACTGCAACAAATGGGAAATTGGTATATATTTGCTAAGTCATTAATGCCACCATTGGAATTGAAATTGACTAAGGATCACAATTTTGATAGGAATGTGTCTAGTAGATAGTGATGAATTTTGGCCTTTTTGTAATTAGAAACTTGTAGCTTTAAAAATGTGTTGATTTTTTTTGGAATACTCTTTTTCCATTCTTTTCCAGAACCATCCGAAACCAACAATATTTAGAAGACTGTGTAGGATCTGCTTAGTGTGAGGGTTTTGATCTCAGTTGCCCTGACTCTATTCAATATGATTGTGTCTATGTCTTGGTAAGATATTTAGCTAGAAGCATAGAAGAGAAAATGTAAAGCAAAAATGCGACTGAATTGGAGATCTAGAGTTCCAGTTACGAAAACCTTAAGAAGATTAACTGCTGTGATGGTAATCTGGCACATATTCAGTTCTAGCTGTCATTTGTTGTGAATTGAAAGAACATTGAAATAATTGGATGCTGAGGTGCATAATTGCTGGCAATGGGTTGGAGGAGGGGAGTTGGTTAGCTGGCAAGGAGCCTTAGAGCTGTTTTTATATTAATGCTGTATATTTGGTATTGGTCGATAACAGGAGAAAAATTATTTATGATCATGCTGGGGACTTATTACATTGATTTCTACTCTGTAATAATATGGAAGAGTTTAATGGTTACTCTTACCGATGTAATATTTCTTTTTTTTTCTTTTTTTGTCATTCTAGCAGCCATCAGAAAGCGATCACAAAAGAGCTATTGCCTTTTCATCTCTTCATCATTTGTGACCTGGAATATTGAGCTCTTGGGCTGGCAGAATTCCAGTTCATGAGGCAATCTGTGTCATTCTGGTCTAGCCAGGTGAGTAGTCCCTATGGGCTAGTTTCTTGTTTTCTAGAAAAGAACAAGAAAGAAAAAAAAAAAAGCAAAGAAATGTAATATGGAAAAATAGAGATATGAATCTTAGGCCCTAGAGGAGAAGCTAAGGCCTGGGCCGTAAGCAGCAAAACAGGCGGAGAAGACCCTGGGGGTTATGTACAAGTTCGGTAGTGTGGTATTCATGAAATAGAAACACCGAGAACGAAGTCTGTTTTGGGACCTGGCTTGGCTTCAAGAATGAGGAAACTTAGATTGAACTGCAATAAAAATATCTATGAAGGCAAGATTAAATAGGAAGGAAGTATGCTTTGAAGTTAAAATGGATCGAAATTGAATTGTAACAAAGTGTTTTTTCCGATGAAATATTGGCTATATAGAGATGAGAATGATATTGTGAAGATTTCACTAATATTTTAGAGTTAAGAGAATGAATCCTGGCTCTTTGACTTACTAGCGGTGTGTTCATGGGAAAATTACTTACCTTCTCCCAAGCTCAGTCTCTTTACCTATAAGATAGATGAAGGGTACTGACACGGTTGTTGTAAGAGTTAAATGAAAAAATATATAACGTGTATCGCATGATGCCTGGCACATACTTAGAGCTCAGTACATAGTCACCATTATCAGGCAGTGGAAGGGAGAGTTAACGAGGTGGATGTTCAATAATGAGATGAATTATTTTTCACAGGTAGGTGTGCAATTAGTTATTTCTCGTCAGAGCAGCTTGCAGCAAGTTGTTTCAAGGTCAGAATCTCTTGGAGATCAGGCTACAATGAGTGCTAATTAGGCCAATTTGAAGGAGGGTGACTTCCTCTGTTTCTTGAGTTGGTAACAAATTAGGTCTCCTCTGCACTCTCTTTCCAGGATAGCACTTTTAACATTAGCATTTTTCATTAGATTTACCATTAGTGTTTTTAATACTTTTGTTTGTTTGACTGGGATCTTGAATTCGGAGGAAGATGGCATAATGGTGGACAGGTTAGGTAGCCAGGCCATGCTAGCTGGAAACAGAGAAGGTGGTAAGAGTGTAAAAGGTAAAGATTTCTCCATAGTTAGTGCGGATCACCTTCTGGATTGAATTTTTTAAAGGATTTTATTTATTCATTTGTCAGAGAGAGAGAGAGTACAAGCAGGGGGAGCAGCAGGGAGAGGGAGAAGCAGGCTCCCCGCTGAGCAAGGAGCCAGAAGCGGGACTCGATGCCAGGACCCTGGGATCATGACCTGAGCTGAAGGCAGACGCTTAACCAACTGAGCCACCCAGGCGTCCCCTGGATTAAATTTTATCAGCTCACTTGTCCGGGTAGAGCGAAGCAGAATGCCTGGAGTTGAAATGTCACAGGGAGCCTACAACAGAGGTCCTAATGAGGCTCTCTGGCCAGCTTACTCAAGTTAAGGAGGAGGAGGTAGGCTTCTCAGTCTAGATAGTGAAGGAGGACATGAACTGTACTTTTTCCGGACCTAGTTTTCTTAGGCCTAAAAAGGAGCCATGGAAGAGAAAGTTTAAAGGTACAGGATTTTTGTTGTTATTTCACATTCTGTTTGAACAGTCTCTGATTTACTTTTTTTTTCTCTTTTAAGTGGGCTTTATTTTTAGAGTAGTTTTAGGTTCACATCGAATCGACCTGAAAGTACAGAAAGTTCCCATATGCCCCCTGCCCCTCACCCCAGCCTCCCTCACGATCAACATATTTGTTACAATCAAGGAGCCTACACAGACACACTGGTATCATCCAAAGTCCATAGTTTACTTTAGGGTTCACTCTTGGTGTTGTACATTCTATGGATTGTGATGTATAATGACATATATCTACCATTACTGTATTAGAAAGAATAGTTTCAAAGCCCTAAAAATCCTCTGTGCTCTGACTATTCATCTCTCTCTCCTCCTTAACCCTGGCAACCACTGATCTTTTTACTGTTTCCATAGTTTTTGTTTTGTTTTTTTGTGGTTTTGGTGGAGGGTGTTTTGGTTTTGTTTTGTTTGTTTGTTTGCTTTTAGTAATCTCTTTGCCCAACATGAAGCTCGAGCTCACTACCCCCAGATCAAGAGTCACATGCTCTGCTGACTGAGCCAGCCAGGTGCCCCTGTTTCCCATAGTTTTGATCTGATTTTTAAAAGCAGCTTTATTGAGGTATAATTCACACACCACATAATGCACCCATTTAAAGTATAAAATTCGGGCGCCTGGGTGACTTAGTTGGTTAAGTGACTGCCTTCGGCTCAGGTCATGATCCTGGAGTCCTGGGATCGAGTCCCGCATCGGGCTCCCTGCTCGGCAGGGAGTCTGCTTCTCCCTCTGACCCTCCTCCCTCTCATGCTCTCTATCTCATTCTCTCTCTCAAATAAATAAATAAAATCTTTAAAAAAAAAATAAAGTATACAATTCAATTGTATAATTCAATGTATTGATCTTTTCAAAGAACCAGCTTTTGGTTTCTTTGATTTTCTCTATTGATTTCCTATTTTCAGTTTTATTAATTTCTACTCTAATTCTTAGTATTTCTTTTCTTCTGCTTGGATCAAACATGCTCTTCTTTTTCTAGTTTTCTAAGGTGGAAACTTAGATTATCAATTTTATTTATTTATTATAAATATTTTTAAGGATTTTATTTGTTTGTTTATTTATCAGAGAGAGAGAGAGGGAGAGCGAGCACAAGCAAGGGGGAGTGGCAGGCAGAGGGAGAGGGAGAAGTAGGCTCCCCGCTGAGCAAGGAACCCCATGTGGGACTGGATCCCAGGATCCTGGGATTGTGACCTGAGCCAAAGCAGATGCTTAACTGACTGAGCCACCCAGGCATCCCAGATTATCAATTTTAGATCTTTCTTCTTTTCGTTCTTTTTTTTTTTTTAACAGTTTATTTATTTATTTAAGTAATCTGTACACTCAATGTGGGGCTCGAACTCACAGCCCCGAGATCAAGAGTTGCATGCTCCTCTGGCTAAGCCAGTCAGGTGCCCCTCTTCTTTTCTTTCTTTCTTTCTTTCTTTTTTTTTTTTTAAAGATTTTATCTATTTGTCAGAGAGAGAGAGAGAGAGTGAGCACAAGCAGGGGGAGCGGCAGGCAGAGGGAGAAGCAGGCTCCCCACTGAGCAAGGAGCCTGATGTAGGACTCCATCCCAGGACCCTGGGATTATGACCTGAGCCGAAGGCTGACACTTAACCGACGGAGCCACCCAGGCGTCCCAGTTCTTTTCTAATATATGCATTCAATGCTATAAATTCCCCTCTGAGCTCTGGTTTTGCTGTATTCCACACGTTTCAATAAGCTGTGTTTTCATTTTCATTTAGTGAAAATATTTTCCTAATGTCTCTTAGATTTCTTCTTTGACTTGTGTGTTATTTAGAAGTGTGTTGTTTAATCTTCACATATTTTGGGATTTTTCCGATTATCTTTCTGTTATTGATTTTTGGTTTAATTCCACTGCCACCTGACAACAGAAATTGAATGAATCCTATTCCTTTAAATTCTGTTCTTTAAATTGTTAAGGTGTGTTTTATGGCCCAGAATGTGATCTGTCCCGGTGAATGTTCCCTGTAAGCTTGAGAAGGACATGTAATCTGCTGTTGTGGGATAAAGTAGTCTACAGATGTCAATTATATCCAGTTGATTGCTGGTTCTATTGAGTTAAACTATATCCTTATTGATGTTCTGATTGCTGCATCTGTCCATTTCTGATAGAGGGGTGTTGAAGTCTCCAGTGAAGATCCTAGACTCACCTATTTCTTTTGAAATGCTATTAGTTTTTGCCTCATATAATTCGATGCTTTCTTGTTAGGTGCCTACATGTTAAAGATTGTTATATCTTCTCGGAGAAGTGACCCTTTTATCATTATGCAATGCTCATCTTTATCCTTGATACCTTTCCTTGTTTTGAAGTCTGCTCTGTATGAAATTCATATAGCTGCTCCTGCTTTCTTTTGATTAATGTTAGCATGGCCTATTTTCCTCCATCCATTTACTTTTAATCTATATGTCTATATTTAAGGTGGGTTTCTGGTAGACAACATATAGCTGGATCTTGTTTTCTGATCCACACTGACAATCTCTTTAATTGGTACATTTAGACCATTAACATTAACATGATAATATTTACCATATTTGTTGTTTTCTGTTTGTTACCCTTGTTATTTTTTTCCTATTTTTTCTTCTACTCTTCTTCTGCCTTTTGTGGTTTTAACTGAACATTTTATATGATTCCATTTTGTATCCTTTCTTAGCATATCGATTATACTGCTTTTTTTTTTTTACCTTTTTTTAGTGGTTGCCCTAGAGTTTTCCGTATACATTTACAACTAATCCACGTCACGTCCACTTTTCAAATAATGAAATAACAAATAACACTGTACCAACTCACAGGCAGTGTGCGTACCTTGTAATAACAAAATAATCTTAATTCTTCCCTCTCATCCTTTGTTTCAATACTGTCTTTCATTTCACCTATGATAAGCATATACACACATGCACACAGGCAATACACACACACAAACATACATAATTGAATACATTTTTGCTCTTATAATTTTGAGCATACTGTTGTCTATTAGATTAATTAAGAATAAGAAAGATTTCTTCTGTTCCTTTTTTTCTTTCTTCTCCTGGTATTCCCGTTATGAATATATTATACTTTTTTTGTTTACCCACAGTGCCTAGATTATCAGTCCCCTTTTCTTAAGAAAGTCTTTTTCACTTCGGTTTTCATTTCTGCAGGTTTCTATTGAGTTATTTTCAAGCTCAGAGATTTTTTCCTCAGCCATGTACAGTCTACTAATGAGCCTTTTAAAGGCATTCTTCATTTCTGTTATAGTGTTTTTGATCTCCAGCAATTCTTTTTGATTCTTTTTTAGAATTTCCATCTCTCTGCTAAAATTTCTCATCTGTTCTTGCATGTTATCTTGCATGTTATGCCCCTAGCATATTAATCATAATTGTTTTAAATTTATGGTCTGAGGGGCACCTGAGTGGCTCAGTCCTTAGGGTCTG